TTGGAGCACTGGACTGAGCTCCCAAGGTCCAGTTGAAGAGTGGAAGGAGTGAGTATGAGCAAGGAGGTCAAGACCATGAGCAGTTCATCCACTGAGACAATTTGCCTGAGCTAATGGGAGCTTACCAACTCCAACTGGACTGGGAGTGAAGAAGCATGGGATCAAACTAATCCCTCTAAATGTGGGTGACAGTTGGGTCAGACTGACGGGCCAATGACAGTGGCACTGGGATTTGTCCTTACTACATGTCCTGGCTTTGGGGGATGCTATTCTCTTTGGATATATACCTTGCTCAATCTAGATGGAGTAGGGAAGGCCTTGGACTTTCCACAGGGCAGGGTGCCTTGCCCTCTCTCAGGATTGAAGGGGGGTTAGGGAGAGGGTATGTGGAGGGAGTGGGAAGAGGGGAGAGAGTAGGAATTTGGATTGGTATTTTTTAAAGTAATAAATAAAATAATAATTAAAAATAAATGAATAAGTAAGTATCTGATGTGCAGGATATCTGATATATGACCCTTGTGAAAGAGTTATTCAATCCCAAGGGGTCATGACCCACAAGTTGAGAATTATCTCATTATGTGGATTGCATTTAAATATTTGAGTATTAAAATAAACTTTGCATTGTTTTCCATATGTACACCTCAATAGAGTCATCAAAAAATTCTGTAAGATCCAACTGTCCTACAGTTTTTAATAAATCTTTTTTCAGTGTAATTTTTTTTCAATTATTTCCACTATTTTACAAAATATTTTACCAGTTAGGTTAAGGTAGGAAGAGATTTATGACCTCAGTTGCTTCTGCTAGTATTGTACTTTGTACTATCCCTTAATAAAGAGCCAGACCTGTGAGATTACCTAATCACGTTTTTTGGGTTTTTTTTTCTTATTAAGAACATTGACAACCAAGCGGTAATGGCACATGCCTTTAATCCCAGCATTTGGGAGGCAGACACAGGCAGATCTCTGTGAGATCGAGGCCAGCCTGGTCTACAGGAGCTAGTTCCAGGACAGTTTCCAAAGCTGCAAAGAAACACTGTCTCAAAAAAAAAAAAAAGAAGAAGAAGAAGAAGAAGAAGAAGAAGAAGAAGAAGAAGAAGAAGAAGAAGAAGAAGAAGACTGGAACACTGACATTTTATTGATTCTTACAGAAGGTATAAAGATACATATTAAAGAAAATGCAAAGGTCCAAAATAGGCAAGAAAGTGAAATTTCTTGCTCTAACATGACTGGTTAGCAGTGACGCAATGTTGATGCAGAAGTTTGAAACCAAAAGGCAAGGTGGCATAAACAAATCCTGTAATGAGAAAACTTTCCCTTTTCTATTCCAGGCTTTGAGATACACTGAATTCTATGTGAACAAGTTATGTCTGCTTGCAGTCAACATACTAGGAAAGAAAATTGATTGGTATGTGAAATCCAGGGATTTGTTGATCTATGAAACACTGACTTAAGGAAATAATGATTTAAGAAATGATGCAGCTTAGCCTGTATTCACATATTTGGATATATATATATATATATATATATATATATATATATATATGTATATACACACACACACACACACACACAACAATTGAAGAAAATGGGTCATAAATTTGAGAGTAAGCAAGGGGAAAAGGTAGAAAGCGGAAATGGGGGAAAGGGAAAATGATGTAATTATACATTAACTTCAAAAAATTCTTAAAGCGATGCATTAAACTGGATCTTAGGGGCTCAGTCCTGTGCTTCAATGTGGGTCTCTGTCTCTATCTCCATCCGTCACCGGATGAAGGTTCTATGGTGATATTCAAGATAGTCATCAGTCTGACCACAGGACAAAGCCAGTTCAGGCACCCTCTCCTCTACTGACCAGGGTCCTAGCTGGGGACATCCTTGTGGACACCTGGGAACCCCTCTAGAGCCAAGCCTCTTGTCAACCCCAAAATGTCTCCCTCACTTAAGATATCTCCTTCCTGCTCCTATATCTGCCCTTCCTCCATCTCAACCATCCCACTCCCCCAAGCTCTCACCAACCCTCCTCTTCTCCCTTCTCTCTCCCCTTCCTCCTTACCCCCACCCCATCCCTACCCCCATGCTCCCAACTTTTGCCTGGCGATCTTATCTGCTTCCAATTTCCAGGAGGATAACTATATGTTTTTCTTTGGGTTCACCTTATACTTAGCTTTGATGAATCGTGAACTATAGGCTCAATGTCCTATGTTTATGGCTAGAATCCACTAATAAGTGAGTACATACAATATTTGTATTTTTGGGTCTGGGTTATCTCACTCAGAATAGTGTTTTCTATTTCCACCCATTTGCAAGCAAAATTCAAGATGTCAATTTTTTTTTACCACTGAGTAGTACTCTAATGTGTAGATGTGCCACACTTTCTTTATCCACTCTTCCATTGAGGGGCTTCTAGGTTGTTTCCAGGTTCTGGCTATTACAAATAATGCTGCTATGGATCACAAGGAGTTGGTCCACTCACTGAGACAGTGTGCCTGATCTAATGGGAGCTCACCAAATCCAGCTGGACTGGGACTAAATAAGCATGTGATCTAACTGCCCTCTGAATGTGGCTAACAACTGAGGCAGACTGAGAAGTCATTGATAATGGTACTGGGATTTGTCTCTATTGCATGTACTAGCTGTTTGGGATCCTAGTCTATTTGGATGCACACCTTCCTAAGCCTGGATGGAGGGGGAGGGCCTTGGACTTCCCACAGGGCAGGGTACCCTGGCCTTTCTTAGGACTGGAGGGGGTGGGGGGAAGGAGAGTGGGGGAACGGGAGAGAAATGGGAGAAGGGGAAGAAGTGGAAATTTTGAGTGGTTATTATTTATAAAGCAATAAAAAAATAAATTAAAAAATGGATTGAAAATTAAATCCTGTAAGTTTTGTGGCCACATAAAGAGAAAACAAGTTATAATAGTGGAATTTTGTCTTACATTACTTGTTTGCCTGTTTGGGGTGTGTGTGTATGTTTGTGCATGTATACCACAAGAGTGTGTGGAGTCAGAAAACAACTCGAGGGAGTCAGCTCTCTCATCCCACCATATGGGTTCTGAGGGTCAATCTCAGATAATCAGGCTTGGCAGCAAGTGCCGTGTCATGCTGATCCATCTTTCCAGCCCATTAGGTTGATTTACTATAGAAGATGAAGCATACGGTTTTGAAGAAAAGGAAGCAGAAGGTTAAATAATATAGGTATGTGCCAAGTACAGTACTGTACACTTGTTATGCAAGTACTAGACAGGCTGAGGCTGAGGAAAAAGATTCCAAGTTCAAGGCCAGCCTGGGCTACACTGTGAGTTTCAGGTCAGCCTGAACTACATACACATACACACACACAAATACACCAAAAAAAACTGCAAAAAATTGCACATGGTTTGTAGAATAACAACATATCTAAAGGACCTGGTAAATATGGATTATAGAAAGGAATAAAACGTAAGTGCCATTTAAATACACACACAAGCACTTTCCTAAGATAAGATTATTATTGTATAGTTATTCTATAATGAAAACACCATAAATTTGCAGTATATATTTCAAGTGGAAACAGGAAAGCACTTTAACATAAGCAGAAGTAATTATGATCTCTGAATACATTTAAGTTACAAATAATAAAGAATATTCAAGATTATATGTAACAACAATTAAAGAAAAAGAGGCCATAAATTTGAAAAAGAGCAAGAGAAGATATATAAGAGGGTTTGAAAAGAAAAAAAGGAAATGGGGAAAATTATGCCATTATATTACCACAAAATTTTTTTAAAAAGTTGAATAACCAATGGGAAGTGAAGAACTGTTGAAGATTTAACCTGAAATTACCTTGTCGCAAAATACAAGTTAGCCTGCACAGTACTGGAAATACTGCCTTAAAAACCAGACCACTGGGTCAGAAGACAGACAGCAGGAGTTTCAGGTACCCAATTTCTTCCCTCTAGATCCCCTAGATCCAAGATGGAGGCACAGGAATTCTCCAGTGAACTGAACACATGGGAACTCCATAGTCAAAAACATAAGCTTAGCAAATCTGGTCTCACGGAAGTCCACGAGTAAGCCTGCCACCTTGGCCACCTTTGAAGAGAGAGGGGGTGGTGCCTTTATTATCTTGAATAAGACACAAATTTGCAAAGTGCCTTAGAAGGGGGCACAACACTCTCCACCCTTAAAGCCTGTGAGAACATAATACAATGTCCCTGTAAAGAGACTGTAGAACAGAAAGTCAAAACTTTTCCTCAGACATGCAGAAATACAAGAGACATAAGAAAGAACTGTCTCATCGTATTTGTTCTCTTCACACTACAAAATACCCCCCATGTTATTTTTTAGCTAACAAATGTATTAAAAGGTCAATATACCTTCTGGGGAAAAAGCAGTTATCTCAGTAACATATTAAATAAATGTGTCTATATATGTTTTACTAAAAATCTGTGATATTGAATAAATGAAATATTTAGTTCTGATGAAAATTCACCAAAATGACAAATGGCACTTTTGGTTTCTTTGGTGAGACCATGTAAGATAACCAGTTTTCGAAGGACAAATACATTACCAAGTTAGAGGGAAAGAAGAACAGCTCAGTCTAACTATCTTAATAGCAATCATCAAATAAATAAAGACTAAAAAGTAAAGCCCATCTTACTGGCACAGTAGAAGATTCAATCTTTTAAAAAATATTACCAAAAAAAAAAGTAAAATTTGGTGTAAATTTGTTTTTCCATATAAACAACTTAGTGAAAAATACCAAAGTCATATGAAGGATATGTCAGTATAAAAGCAAACGCTTTCAAATTAAAAACATTTTTCTAGTAAATGACTGAAAATTACCAAATACAAAAAGGAAAAAGTATTTTAGACATCACTTTTTATAGGAAGAGTATGTAAACTGCTGCACCGTCCAAACCATTGCTCCTGGTACTCTGAATTGGAAAATGAAGTAAAACAATATCTATGCCATACCTCAACCTTCAAATTAAAAAAGGCAAAGCAGCAATATCCTTGACATACCTCACCCAGAGCTTCGTATCTTTTCTGGTTCCACCTGTGTAAGTCTTCACGGTAGTTAAAAACAAATGGTTCCCCAGTTTTTATGTGTCTTAACTGCCCCTCTAAAAGACAACAAGCAATATTCCAATGATTTAGAATATATCTTAAATAATATGGAACTCATAATAAATAATTATAACTTTTTTAAATATTTGATTTCTTCCTAAATTTTTGTCTTCAAATGCCAATATAATAAACCTATTAAGCATATAAAAGAAGGATCCCTAGGAATTTAAAAGCTAGTCTTAATCTTCATCCCAATATTTTAAAGCAAGCTGACACTACTTTAAGGCTACTAAGAACACCACCAGATAATGCCATAAGCATGGCTCAGACTTCAAGAAGTTTAGCGGCCACCTGGGAGACAAATGTTGAAAATCTAAGCAATTTTCCAGAAAGTTAAGATAGTAATGAAAGAAAGGCAGCGATGCAAAGCTGCCATCTGTGATGTATATGAACAGTGAGGTCCAGAATGATGTGGGAACGTGAGCATGTATTGTGCAGTTACCTAGGACAGAAGGGATTCAGGGCCTTGAGGAACAGTTTTCTATGAGGCCCTAAGACAAGCTATCAATGGAGGCTGGAGAGGAGGAGGAGAGCTAACACCAGCTGAAACTATCCAAACCTTCCTGGACTGCATTTTCTGACACAGAACAAGTAAGGTCCAAATAAGGCATACAGGGCTTCATGCACCAGTAAGCATTTGGTCTTAATATTCCCATCCTGTATATTAAAGAATTACAGTGTGATAGTCTTCATGGAAACATGCCTCATATATCAAAAACATGTTTCTTTACCGTGAGCAATGCTAAATTAACCATCTAGACCATAGTATCCAAAAAAAAAACTCTCCTTGTGGAAAGCATTAAACTTTATGTACTAAAAGGTTTAATTATCAGCCTATTTACAGTGAGAAAAGACAGACCATCTGCCCCTTGCTTTCAACGGGAAGAGTCTAGTAACCAGAAGAAACACAGCCCACAAGGCAACAGCCTTAATCCTTTCTCACGAATAGGCAATGAAAGATTACTATTTATACATGTTGTATCATAAGATATTCTTTATAAAAAATAATATTTGAAAGTGATCAACGTTTCTATTATCATCTTAAACTCATGAGTATGCAAGTACACATGGGCAGAAGAGAGGCCCCTTCCTTCCACCTGTAAGTGTAAGGGGCACACACTAACACAGTGATGAGCAATCAGCATTTGGAGCTAAAACGCAATAGCTAGAAATGACAACTACATGCTCCTGCCCCAAACAGTAGAAGCCTTCAAATATAATAGTGTATTGTGGCTCAGGTATAAACTTCAATTAGGAGTTTCTAGTTAGATACCAGAGAATGCTCAAAGTAAAAATGTATAAATGAAGTCAACTTATTGTCTTTTAATTTATGAGACTTGTCAACTACAGAAAACTGTCTCCTAATTCTTTTATTAGAGTGAAGGAGTTTACTATACAAACATAAGCCATGATCTCCCCAAAATCCTGCAAAATGTTCTAGTTAAGGAGTGAGAGTAACTAATATGTTTCCTATGATTCTATAAACACTGTTAAGTAAATTATACATACACATATATGTGTGTATAATGTACAGCACTTACTTTCATTAAAAGCATATTCAAATCCTTCCAGCGTGGTAGGAAAATCAAGAGGTGGCTCGTCCTTCTTCATGAGTTCATCCAAATCAATCCTAGACAACAAATCTAAAAACAAAATGACAGGAACCGACATGAGACTTACTCAGGTTCATGGCTCACTGAGAATACAAGTGAAGGCTGCATTTCTAATTGCTTTAAATTATTCCTTCATTCTAGTTGATTAATTTTATCTGTTGTTTTAACTGACAATGCTATTAAAATTTAAGTTCCAAAAAAGCTGTATTTTGATCTAACTCAGTATCAACACAAATACTCTACAAATCATAATCCCCTAAGTAATCACAACACGGATTCTCAAAATAATCTAACTTTTCCCCTTCAAAATGGCTATTTGTTTGTACCTCATTAACCTTAGTCTATGGTTTCAAAATTCAAATATTAATGTAACATTTCAAAGACCACAAAATTTTACTATAAATGAGCTATAGTTTATGAATAGAAGAACTAATTGTAAATGCAAAACTGATATCATTATATATTGATACATTTTATAAGAAATATTAAAATGAGTTGCTGAGGAATCCCATCAGGACAGGTGAGTGTGTGCTATCCAGGGGCGGACTGTCCCGGAAGAGAGCACAAACCCCCTCCCCCAGCTCCTTCTGCAGGGCTGTCTTTCTTTCGCACGACCCAGCACCCCCAGCACCCCTACCCAACCCTGCCCTGCTGTATGCTAGGACCAGTGCTCAAGTACAGTTTCAAGCTCCTAAACTAAGGCGACCCACCCAGAGCGGTGAGTGCATGCCTACCGGGCAGGCCTCAGGGTACCCTGTAAGGGAGCCTGGCACCTTCAGCTCCAGCGCCATGCTTCCTGCGCGCTTCTGGATACCACCCCCCCCCCTTGCTCCATTCATCCTGTTGGCCCTGGATCATTGGGCTACCTGCGGCCCTGTTTAGTTGCTGAGGAATCCCATTGGGATGGGAACAGTTCCTGCTTCTACACTGAAGAGATATACCCAGAGAGTCAATCACAGCAAAGACTGGACCAAGAGACCAGGCCTCTCCTGGCTCCATTTGAAGGAAGAGATGGGAAGGCGCCAATACAAGAATTCCTCCAACAACCTGAAAGGCAACATGACACCACCAGAAACCAGGGATCCCGTAATAAGAAGAATTGTACACCCTACTCCTGAAGAAATAGAAGAAATCGACTCAAAAGTGAACTATATGAAAATAATAGAGGACCTTAAACAGGATGTGAAAAACTGCCATAAACAATTAGAGATTACAAACAAAAAGGTAGAGGAAATGAATAAATCGCTCAAAGACACGCAAGAAAACCAAGAGAAACAAGAAAAAGCAATCAAACAGGTTAGGGAAGCGGTTCAAGACATGAAGAATGAAATGGAAGCAATGAAGAAAGCACAAACCGAGGGAAGAATGGAGATGGAAAATCTGGGTAAACGAACAGGAACGACAGAGACAAGTACTAACAACAGATTACAAGAGATAGAAGAGAGAATATCAGACACTGAAGATACCATAGAGAAAATAAACACACTGATCAAAGAAAACAGCAAAACCAACAAATTCTCATCACAAAACATTCAGGAAATTTGGGACACAATAAAAAGACCAAACCTAAGAATAATTGGAGTAGAAGAAGGAGAAGAGTGCAGCTCAACGGTACAGAAAATATACTTAATAAAATTATAGAAGAAAACTTTCCCAACCTGAAGAAAGAGGTACCTATGAAGGTTCAAGAAGCATACAGAACGCCAAATAGGCTGGATCAAAAAAAAAAAAACATCCCCTCGCCATATAATAATCAAAACACAAAATATACACAATAAAGAAAGAATATTAAGAGCCGCAAAGGAAAAAGGCCAAGTTACTTATAAAGGTAAACCTATCAGACTTACACCTGACTTCTCTATGGAAACCATGAAAGCCAGAAGGTCCTGGATAGATGTACTGCAAAAACTAAGAGATCATGGATGCAAGCCCAGACTGCTATATCCAGCAAAGCTTTCGTTCACTATAAATGGAGAAAACAAAATTTTCCAGGATAAAAACAAATTTAAACAATGCGTAGCCACAAATCCAGCCTTACAGAAAATTATAGAAGGAAAATCACTAACCAAGGAGTCCAACAATGACCACAATAACTCAGTCATCTAGAGACCTTTCACCAGCGCAACTAAAAGAAGGGAAACACGCAAACCCTACTACTAAAAAAGTGACCGGAGTTAACAACCACTGGTCATTAATATCACTTAATGTCAATGGGCTCAACTCACCTATAAAAAGGCACAGGCTAAGGGATTGGATACGAAAATGGGATCCAACATTCTGCTGTCTACAAGAAACACACCTCAACCACAAAGACAGGCACCTACTCAGAGTAAAGGGCTGGGAAAAGGCTTATCAAGCAAATGGACCTAAGAAACAAGCAGGTGTGGCCATACTAATTTCTAACAAAGTTGACCTCAAACTTAAATCAATCAGAAGAGATGGAGAGGGACATTTTATACTCATAACAGGAACAATTCATCAGGATGAAGTCTCAATCCTGAATATCTATGCCCCTAATATAAAAGCGCCCACGTATGTAAAAGAAACATTACTAAAACTCAAGGCAGCCATCAAACTGCACACACTAATAGTAGGAGACTTCAACACTCCTCTCTCACCAATGGACAGGTCAATCAAACAGAAACCTAACAGAGAAATTAGAGAATTAATGGAGGTAATGAAGCAAATGGACTTAACAGACATCTATAGATTATTCCAACCGAAGAGGAAAGAATATACCTTCTTCTCTGCAGCTCATGGAACCTTCTCGAAAATTGACCACATACTCGGTAGCAAAGCAAACTTACACAGTTACAAAACATATTAGTAACCACCTGCGTCTTATCAGATCACCATGGATTAAAGTTAGAATTCAACAACAATGCTACCCCCAGAAAGCCTACAAACTCATGGAAACTGAACAGTCAACTACTGAACCATACCTGGATTAAGGAAGAAATAAAGAAAGAAATTAAAGTCTTCCTTGAATTCAATGAAAATAAAGAAACAACATACTCGAACTTATGGGACACTATGAAAGCAGTCCTAAGAGGAAAGTTCATAGCACTAACTGCCCACTTAAAGAAAACAGAGAAAGCTCATATTGAAGACTTAACAGCCCACCTGAAAGCTCTAGAAAAAAAAGAAGCAGACTCACCTAGGAGGAGTAGAAGATTGGAAATAATCAAACTGAGGCGTGAAATCAACAAAATAGAAACACAGAAAACAATCCAAAGAATCAATGAAACAAAAACCTGGTTCCTGGAGAAAATCAACAAGATTAATAAACCCCTATCCAAACTAATCAAACGGCAGAGAGAGAATACGCAAATTAATAATATCAGAAATGAAAAGGGGGACATAACCACAGACACAGAGGAAATTCAGAGAATCATCAGATCTTATTACAAAAGCCTGTATAACACGAAACTGGAAAATGTAAAAGAAATGGACACTTTTTTAGATAAATACCATATACCAAAGTTACACCAGGACCAGGTGAACAATTTAAACAGACCTGTTGGTCGCGAAGAATTAGAAGCTGTTATCAAAAACCTCCCTACCAAAAAAAGCCCAGGACCAGATGGTTTCAATGCGGAATTCTACCAGAACTTCCAAGAAGAGCTAATACCTATACTCCTTAATGTATTCCACAATATAGAAACAGAAGGGTCATTACATACTTCCTTTTATGAAGCTACAGTTACTCTGATACCAAAACCACACAAAGACTCAACCAGGAAAGAGAATTACAGGCCAATCTCACTCATGAACATCGACGCAAAAATCCTCAACAAAATACTGGCAAACCGAATCCAAGAACACATCCGAAATATTATCCATTATGATCAAGTAGGCTTCTTTCCTGAGATGCAGGGCTGGTTCAACATACGAAAATCTATCAATGTAATCCAGCATATAAATAAACTGAAAGAAAATAACCATATGATCATCTCATTAGATGCTGAAAAAGCATTCGACAAAATTCAACATCCATTTCTGTTAAAAGTCTTGGAGAGATTAGGGATACAAGGGTCATACCTAAATATAATAAAAGCTATATACAGCAAGCCGACAGCAAACATCAAATTAAACGGAGAGAAACTCAAAGCCATCCCGCTTAACTCAGGAACACGACAAGGATGTCCACTCTCGCCATACCTCTTCAATATAGTACTTGAAGTTCTAGCAATAGCAATAAGACAACATAATGGGATCAAGGGGATTCGAATTGGAAAGGAAGAAATTAAACTTTCGTTATTAGCAGATGATATGATAGTGTACTTAAGCGACCCCCAAAACTCCACCAAAAAACTTTTACAGCTGATAAACAGCTTTAGTAATGTGGCAGGATACAAGATCAACTCCAAAAAATCAGTCGCCCTCTTATACACAAAGGATAGGGAAGCAGAGAGGGAAATCAGAGAAGCTTCACCATTCACGATAGCCACAAACAGCATAAAATATCTTGGGGTAAATCTAACCAAGGAAGTGAAAGATCTATATGACAAGAACTTTAAGGCATTGAAGAAAGAAATTGAAGAGGATACCAAAAAATGGATGGATCTACCTTGCTCTTGGATTGGGAGGATCAACATAGTAAAAATGGCAATTCTACCTAAGGCAATTTATAGATTCAATGCAATCCCCATCAAGATCCCATCAAAATTCTTCACAGATCTTGAGAGGACAATAATCAACTTTATATGGAAAAACAAAAAACCCAGGATAGCCAAAACAATCCTATACAATAAAGGATCTTCTGGAGGCATTACCATCCCTGACTTCAAACTCTATTACAGAGCTACAGTAATGAAAACAATGTGGTACTGGCATAAAAACAGAGAAGTCGACCAATGGAATCGTATAGAAGACCCGGATTTTAACCCACAAACCTATGAACACCTCATTTTTGATAAAGGAGCTAAAAGTATACAATGGAAGAAAGAAAGCATCTTCAACAAATGGTGCTGGCACAACTGGATGTCAACCTGTAGAAGAATGAAAATAGACCCACATCTTTCACCGTG